TTTATTATTTGAAATAGACTTTAACTCTCAAAAAAAGAAAACAAGCTGTGAGTTGGGGGAAAGGGTTGGTGTCTTCCATGCGTATGCACAGCTCTGAGGTCCTGTCTTTTCCAGTTGCTGGACAAGTGGAGCTGGTGGAAGGATGGAGTTACCAATAATGGGTAGAACATTCTTCTTTGCATCTAAAGTGCTTAACACTTGCCTACCAGAGTAGATTGTACACAACTATTTCTTCAACAAACAAATTAACAGAGACATCTTCAAACATTAAAGCTGTTTTCAAATATCTGAAGCACTGTCAAGTGAAACAGGAGGTAGTTCATTCTATATTGTTCCAAAAGGCAGAGCTAGGATCAATGAATGGAAATAATAATAATAAAAATAATAAGTATTGTGATGATATTGAATGCTTTCTATAGTCCAGTCACTGTGCTAAATGCATTCTTATTTAATCTTCACTATGGGATAGGCACTACTAATTTTTTTTTTTAGGCAAGGTCTCACTCTATTACCTGGGCTAGAGTGCACTAGCATCATCATAGCTCATTGCAACCTCAAACTCCTGGGCTCAAGTGATCCTCCTGAGTAGCTGGGAATATAGGTACACACCCCCATGCCTGGATAAGTTTTGTATTTTTTTGTAGAGATGGGGTCTCAATATATTGCTCAGGCTGGTCTCGAACTCCTGGCCTCATGCAATCCTCCCATCTTGACCTCCCAAAGTGCTAGGATTACAGGCGTGAGCCACCGTACCTGGCCTGGATAGGTTCTATTATTATCCTCACTTTACAGATGAAAAAGCTGAGTTTAACTGAAAGGTTAAGTAATTCACCCAAACTTCTCTCGCTGGTAAGTGGACTTATCAGGACTCCAGTCCAAGCAGTCTGACTCCAGAATTCTTGCATCACCCATATACCACGCAATCTACACATTTTAATTCAATAAGAGGAAGAACTTTCTAACATCAGAAGTGTTCAACAGCAGAACCTCAGTGAACCCCCATCAGTGAAGTGTGCAAGCATAGGCTGAATCACTGATGGCTACTACCTGCCTAATCTTCACCCCAGGTACTGTACCAAGTGCTTTCCCTGGATACTCTCATTGAATCCTCACAATAATCCTCTCTGTGGTA